ACATACGCCCACAGCAGCTAAATCATCCGAGCAGTCGACAAGGGTTGTCGCATAATTATTCTTTTGTAGGTGATTAGGGGAATTTAATAGACAATTTCATACAGATGACATTATAATTTCCGTCGTTTGAGGTTTCACAAGGTTCTAAAAACTAAAACAAGGGCCGTAACTCTGGAAGTAATCTACAGAAATTGTTGAAATTCAACAGGCTTTTTCGTTTTACTAATTCAAATAATGCATATACATTTCATACAGATCGGATGATAACTTTTGTCGTTCGAACGTTCACAAGGTTCAACAAAGTAAAACAAGGGCCATAACTCTAAAAGTAATTGACAGAAATTGCTGACATTCAATAGGCGTCTTCATTTTACTAATTCAAATGATGCATATGAATTTCATTCAGATCGGATGATAACTGTTGTCATTAGAGCGTTCACAAGATTCAACAAAGTGAATGTAATTAACGGAAATTGCTGAAATTCAATAGGCTTCTTTGTTTTACTAATTTAAATGATGCATATAAATTCCATACAGATCGGATAATAACTTTTGCTGTTACAGCATTCACAAGGTACAACAAAGTGAAACAAGGGCCATAACTCATGGTGTAATTAATGGAAATTGCTGGAATTCAATAGGCTTCTTCCTTTCACTAATTTAAATGATGCATATCAATTTCAAACAGATTAGGTGATAACTTTTGTTGTTTAAGCGTTGACAAGATTCAACAAAGTGAAACAAGGGCCATAACTGTAGATGTAATTAACGGAAATTACTGAAATTCAATAGGATTCTTTGTTTTACTAATTTAAATGATGCATATAAATTTCATACAGATCGGATAATAACTTTTGTCGTTAGAGCGTTCACAAGGTGCAACAAAGTGAAACTTAAGGGCCTTAACTCCAGAAGAAATTAACGGAAGTTATTGAAATTAAATAGGCTTCTCCATCTCACTAATGCAAACAACATATATCAATTTATAAAAAATCAGATGATAAATGGAGTCTGTAGAGTGTTCACAAGAAATTGTGGACGATGGACGGACCGACCGACAGACAGACGGACGGGGGCGACGGCAATATACGACCACATTTCCATGTGGGCATATAAAAACAACACTTTTGACCAAAATAATCAAACACCAAATCACAAGTTGATAAAACAAATCAAGAAACCAAAACTCGTAAAATGAAAATAATCAAATTCACAATTCAGTACAAGTGTCAAACAATAAAACATCAACCCAAGAAAAATGTCAAAATCACAACCAACAAACAACAAAAATTAAATAAATCCAAGTAAACAGTTGAATTCAAGTCAGGGTCAAGTCTAATGTAATGTCAAGTCTAATGTAAAGTCAATGTCTAAGTCAAAATCTCAACAAGCGACAAACTTAAAGGGAAGACCAACGATTTTCAACAAGGTTTCCATAAACCTTAAATATATATTATAAATAATCCCCTCTCTAGCACAAGCAAAAAAGTTTTTGTAAGCGAGAAATTAATTTTTATTAAAACAGGAAGTGACATAGTTGGTTCAACACGCTGACTGGGCTCTATAGTAAGCATACAGATTTGGCATAAGCTTACTGCTGTATTGTGTTCACGCGTCGTCCTTTGGCCAAAAATATGATCAAATGGGCTTTTTATTATGATATCATAAACACGAATTTATGTTTTTTTAACGTTTAGTACACAAAGCCGTCGCGTAAATTCACTCATACTGAACAGTACGCTGTGTCTCAATTCACGCCACATGGCTAATTGTTTATATCACGTGGTTTGATTGACAGCTTGCAAGTGACATGTGTTTCGTCTGCTTCGATGTTTTTTTGTGCTTGCTGACAGCGTTTTTCAACATAAACAGATCAAAATTATGGGCATGTCAGACATATAATATATAGTGCATTTTGGCACATAATGTCGATGTGAATGGCTTTTCCTTTTTTCTTTCATTTCCTCTTGAGAATGGCTGGGCTCGTATGTTTTTACGGCATTACTTTAGACCACCCATAGAAGATATATTTTATATTCCAATACGTTGGTGTCTGACGTTGACATATTTTGGAATTTTATATATTTATTTGAATATATAAGTGCCACAAGTCCGTTGAAATAAATACCAACACTATTAGCAGATTCAGCACGCACATAAAAATTCAAGCAGACGAAATATCTCTCACTTGCAAGCTGTCGATCAAACCACGGGATGTAAACAATTAGCCATGTGGTGTGAATTAAGGCACAGCGTACAGTTTAGTACGAGTGAATTTACGCGACGGCTTTGTGTACTAAACGTTAAAAATACATAAATTCGTGTTAATGATATCCTAATAAACAACCGATTTGATCAGATTTTTGGCCAAAGGACGATGCGTGAACACAATACAGCAGTAAACTTGTGTCAAATCTGTATGCTTACTATAGAGCCCAGTCAGCGTGTTGAACCAACTATGTCACTTTCGGTTTTAATAAAAATTAATTTCTCGCTTACAAAAACTTTTTGGTTTGTGTTACTGAGGGGATTATTTATCAATATATATACTATTCAAAAAAAGTAGGGGATATTTGATTTTGGGGGCATAATACTAAAATATGCAAATGACTACGAAAATAGTCACTATAGAACCTAACAGAAGAAACATTTCCAGTTACATGTGACGCCCAAACGCACCAATAGCTACCGCATGGAATGCAGGTGATGCTTGGGATCATCATGGGGGTCCAACCCAAGATTTGCACAACTCTGACTTTGAATGTTACAGTCATTGTGGCATTGAATTCCAGGGTGGAAACATCAGTTTAATTGTTTTAGTGACCAGAAAACAAATTTTGATATGCGTCGGCTTACCCAAAATGAAAGGTTACGTGCCCTTGGCATGCTACAGATCGGCACAACACAGGCGGTTGTGGCGCGGACGATGAATGTTTCTCAGTCTGTCATAAGCAGGCTATGGTCCAGATACCGTGATACACAATCTGTACAGGACAGACCACGCTCAGGTCGACCAAGGGCGACAACTCAAGCCCAGGATCGATTTATCCGTACCTTGGCCTTGAGAAATCGTGTCATCACAGCAAATCAGATCAGCGCTCGTCTTCAAACAGACACTGGTGTGAGAGTGAGTGGCCAGACGATTCGGAATCGACTGCATAGGGGTCACCTTCGCGCCCGACGTCCTCGCGTGATCCCTTGTTTGAGAGATCATCACATTCAGGCAAGACGTCGTTGGTGTAGGGATCGTCAACACTGGGATAATCGACGCTGGAGCAATATGATGTTTTCAGATGAGTCAAGGTTCACTGTTGATTTTTTGGACAGACGTAGGAGGGTGTGGCGTCGTCGAAACGAGCGCTTCCAAGACGTTAACGTCATCAGACATGATTGATTTGGGGGTGGTTCTGTTATGGTGTGGGGAGGCATCACTGTTGCTGGAAGAACGGCTTTACATGTTGTTGCAGGGCGTGTTACAGGCCAGTACTACCGGGACAACATCTTGGCAGTCCATGTTGTGCCGTTCGCACGACGTCATGGCCGCCGTTTCATCTTCCAGGATGACAACGCAAGATGTCACAGGGCCAGGATCGTTACAGGTTACCCCCAACAACAGAACATCACCACATTACCTTGGCCAGCACTGAGTCCCGACCTCTCCCCCATCGAGCATGTCTGGGACATGCTTGGACAGAGGTTACGTCAACGTCAACAACGTCCTGCCAATGTCCAAGAACTTGCTGCTGCGTTGCAACAGGAATGGGACAATCTGGACCAAAATGACCTTAGACGTCTCATTAGGAGTATGCCACGTCGGATCAATGCTTGTTTGGCAAACAGAGGAGGATTTACCCGTTACTGACTTGGTTGTGATGCTGTGGTAACTTTGCTGTTTGACCCCGGGTATCATTTTACCCTTATAATGGTCAGTCTGTGCCTTACTTAGTCTAACGATCATTTGGAATAAATCGATGAATGTGAACTTCATTTCATTTTGTCATTTGTTTCTTCGTCAGTTTCATTAGGTGACTTTAATAACACTTAAAAATCAAATATCCCCTACTTTTTTTGAATAGTATATTTAAGATTTATGGAAACCTTGTTGAAAATCGTTGGTCTTCCCCTTTAAACTCAAAACTCAATACAAAAACAAGAGCTCAAACAAAATCAATATAAAATCAAATAAGTAGAAATACTGTACACAAAACCAAATCAGATAGCAATCCAAAACACAATTTCAAAATCAAAACCTGAAAAATAAATAATCTACACCAGGGGTATCACTGAAGACGAATTAAACAAAGTGACAATCATAAAACAATTTATAAATATATACAAATATTTATACCATATACAAGGGTTGTGAATGCAAAATATGTTAGTGCTGAATATGTGTGAGTTTCAATAATGAACAATTTTATTTATTTGAGACAGAAAACTGAAAAGAAAATGGAATGAAAGACTGAAAGAAAAGTGAAGTAAGTCTGTCCTGAAAAAAAAAACTAAAACAAATCCTATATGAAACCCTAAGTTCAGGTATGTGTGCTCGCGATCCCACCTAATATAAGAAACCCAAATACACAAGTACACACCCTTTCACTCTATGATAATTAAGTTTAACAGTAAAAGTGGAAAATGTATGCACTATTTCCTAAGTAGGATAATAAACAAGTATGTAATAAATTAAAAGTCAAAGGAAAAAAATTAATTTCACAAATATAATTGTGAAGAAGTTAACTATATAAAATAAAAGAATTAATTAATCAATGAAAAACCTAATACTGAATATGAAGTTACAATCAAACTTTGGCCAAATACCAACTTGTTGACTTTGACCTACTGGTCACAGTGACCTGACCTATATACTAAACAGTAAGTCAACAAAAATGTCAGTGGTTCAAATCTGATTTTAACCAGAAATAATCTATGTAAATAATGAATATAGAAAAACAAAAATTACAGTATTTTAAATAATATAGTAAATTAAAGTAACGGCCTACCGCACAAGTCCAAAAGAATTTCACAAACACAAGTATGAGATTAACACTGATAATAATGTCTCTAAAGATCCACCGATGAAACAGCAGCTGTATCTCGCGAACCCGAATCTTTAGGTCTTTGGAACTCTGTAGGTACCTTGTCTTCAGAACGTTGGGCGCCAAAATGTAACCGGGGAGTGTAAATTCTCAATAAAACTAAGGCGTTTAGTTTTTAAACCTTTATTAAAAACCCTGAAAATATATACATCAAAATTAATATACATATCACAGTTGAGTAATATAAAATAACATAATAGTAAGGCATGCATACTTAATAATGAAATATATCAATAATTTACACACTAAAAATACATCACGAACTAAATTGAATATATTAAATATGCCTTGAGTTTATACTAAATGTAATATATAAGTAACTGATCACATACCCAAAGAAGGGATTTTTAAAGAAGACTAGCAAGATGGTAAACAAAATCTTCAGATAACTATATTCTGGAAAATAACATTTTTCTGATTATATATACAATATACTTTCAAAACGGTACATTATAATCTACTATAAATATGTATATATGAAAAACTAATGATCTTTACATGTTATTTTCTATCTATTTAAATAAAATGGCTGCTTAACATTACAATTTCTATCATTCCTACATTCGCTCCATCTAAACCCCAATTACCCAAAATAAGAGAATTAGCACACATAACTGTAATACTGAAGTATATAACTGGAACAATTCTCTGAAAATAACCTAACTAGATTTGAAAATTAAGTTAAACAATTAGATTGAAGTAGGTATCAAAATGTCCTTACACTTCGAAATCTATCTAATGTTTGATGTCCAAAGTGAGGTTTAGATAAAAAGAAAACGTGCTTGTAACCAAGGGATTAGAATTGTACTCACCCCAAGATTTGGGCTCTAAGAAAACCATAGGCGTAAAAGCCAGGGGAGCAGGGGGGGCAGCTGCCCCCCTAACTTTCGGGCAAGCTGACTTTTCGGGCAGACGGGTAAACTGAAAAAAATTTTTTATTTCATCTACTTGGCAAAATAAAGTGCTCGAAATCTAATAAAACACTAATTTTACGGGCTGGAATAGAAGTAAAACGCTTTTGCGGCCGTCAAGTATTCCAAAATTTTCTTGGGGGGGGTCCATACAAGGTCAGCTCCGCTTCTTCGCCTCTTGAAGAAACCGGCGCCGCTGTCTGTAAACCTGAAATTTTTTCGCCCATTTCTAGTTTTGCTTCCCTGTCATCGAGCCCTAATAAAACACTAATTTTACTTTTCTTTTAATTGAATACCACGAATTTGTACTGAGTTCACGATGGATTAAAACATTTTGTCTGGAGCCACTCTACTTTGTGCAACATTTTTCGGGCATCGATTATTATTTGTGAATGCAGCTGCAACAGTCTGATTTAATGATTGGAATTCAGAATGGGATTTCGGTTACAAAACCATTGGATACTTTTGGAGTTGCTTACACGGGCTAGAATAGCAGAAAACGCATTTACGGTGGTTAAATTTTCAAATTTTCTCCGGGAGGGTGAGGCCCCGATACCCCGCGACGATTGATTGGTTGTTTGGAATTCGGGTCAGCCAGGTAGGCTATATTGGACCAAATTGAAGTTGCTGTATTCATGGATCACAGGGTGGAATAGCAGGAAAACGCGTTTGTGGCAGTTAAATTTTCAAAATATTCCCCCAACGGTCCCGTCTCCGTGGACTGTAAATGATTGATTGGAATTCGATTCAGCCACCTTAATTAGGCTATATTAGACTACTTTGAAGTTACTTTGTTCATGGGCTGAAACAGCAGAAAAACGTGTTTGCAGCCGTCAAATATTCCAAAATTTTCTTTGTGGGGGTGTGTGTGTGTGTGTGTGGCATACAAGGTAAGCCCCGCTTCTTCGCCTCTCCAGGAAGACTGGCGCCGCTGTCTGTAAACCCGAAATGTTTTCGGGCATTTCGGGTTCTGCCCCCCCTAACTGTCATCGAGCCCGTACGCCTATGAAGAAAACAGTACAGGTTAACAAGCCAAGTTAAAGGAGAGATGTTATTATAGACCAGTTGGAAGTAAAATTAGTGTCAGTTTGTTAGTTTAAAGGTGCACTCACTCAATACACTATATTACTTGACATAATAAAACCTATAAACATATTAAAATTCTGCTTCGCTACAATATGAAACAAAAAATAAGAGACAAATCAACGATTAGTCCACGATCGCTTGTAACAGTGGGAATGAACAACGGATAAAAGGTAAACAAGAAATGGCGATTCTATCTATAATAATATACAAACCAATGGAACGTAGTGCAATGGTCTAGGATCAACAAGAAAAGACATCAATGATGGTTGTATTACTGCTTATATACACTGATCTAGGGACACATGATTATAGTCGGGTAAAGATAAGCCATATAGAGTGGATAACTAGAACCAATTGCAACAGAAATTCTCTTGACAGAATCTGGTAGAGGGGTACATCCCTGAAGGTCTCCTAAACAAAAATTGCCCAAAATAAAAAAAAACAGGTTTTTGAGTAATTAGCATAAATCCAATATGGTCGCCATTGGCACCATAAAACTCCAATATCTCGAGAATGGTTGAGTTTGGAGGGTTTAACTGTATTACGGGTAGATAGGAAAGTGGTACAGATATATCAGATAAACACAGCTAAATGACGTCCCTTTGACGTCATATCGTAATACGGCCAACAATTAGCATAAATCCAATAAGACCACCATTGAAACTTAAAACTCTGATATCTCAGGAATGGTTGAGTTTGGAGGATGTAAATGTATTACGAGTAGATAGGAAAGTGCTACCAAGGAATCAGAAAAACATTGCCAAATTACGGCCATGTGATGTCATAACGCCATAGTCCAATCATTAGTATAAATCCAATATGGCCACCTTTGGAATTTTATGATAATTCAAGAAAGGGGGATTTGGAATTCGACCAGAAGAGATTTATCAAAACAGCAGCCACACTAATCTGCAGCAAGATTATTAAACAAAATCCATCACCCAACCAGAAACAATAAAGTTTTTGAGTGGAATGACAAATTTTGCATCAAATTTGTTTACACTTTTTTTTACAAGAACTGATCATGGGCGATAAGCTGAAGAATTACATCTCTCGGGCTTTGTTTGGTAAAACTGGTGAGACCTCAAGTAATTTTAGACCTATTTCATTTACTGTCGCGATACAGCTACATCATATTTATGGGCCAGGACTTCGGATCGGTACTTTGAATGCACACAGCTTCCACTGAGAAGTAGTAATAGTGTTTAGGGTATAGATATCGACCGATTTTGGTAAATTTGTATGAATATCGGTAAAATTCTAATTATCGCAACAAATCTAATACGAAGAGGCTAAAATCTGTAGATACGGTGTGTTAATTAACAGGGGTGAGAAATTGAGTGAAAGGTGATTTAATTATCGTTAGGGGAGAGAGAGAGAGAAATGGGGTTTAACGTCCACTCGAAAAAACTAGGTCATTTCGGGACTAACATATGGTTCAATTTTATTTTCATAATTCGCTTGCGCGTAGGGGTCTTTAGCAGTGGGAGGAAACCAGAGGACCCGGAGAAAGCCAGAGAGGTTGGACTATCGCTGAAAATCTCTCCGACAGTGGATTTTCTGTACTGGGTATGTTAATTAACGAACAGGTTAAAAACGACTGACACGGTGTGTATTCTTTGTTTGGTGAGTTTTCTTGAAAGGGCGTTATAACTGCACAAAAGGTGTTTTATCAAGGACTAGCAGGCTTAATCTGACGTGTAGGTGTTAAATCCAATTTACTGTGTGATTTCTTGTTCGACCGTGTGTTTTACGCAGATCGGTCTTTGTTAAGGGTACGTCTTTATACATGGATTTATACGTGCGTTCTTATACGTATTTCATTTCTTGATAAAATGAAAAATGAAATGAAATGGGGTTTAACGTCCTACTGTTTTGCTCCGAACTGGGCTAATGAAGACGGGCATACGCCATACAGTGTGCTACGAGGGAAATTTTGCCCGGACAGCGGCACTACGGCCTACTCTTATATCGAATTCCAACTGTCAAGGGATCTTTTACGTGCACGCCAATGTGTACACGGGACCTCGGTTTTTCGTCTCATCCGAATGACTAGACAGCTGTCCTTGTCAGGCCCTCCGTCCTGCATCACTGACAAGGGGAAACCACGCCGGAAAATCTGGATGAACTTTCTCGGCCAATGCAGGGATCGAACACCCGACCTCCAGGCTAGCGAGCCAGCGCCTTACCCACTTAGCCACCGTGATCCCCTCATTTCTTGATGAATACTATGTGTTTTATACTTCGTACCATAGTCAAGCTGCAGTTATTTATATATTTGTCTTTTTTGTGGGTTTAATTGTTTACATATTATTGTGCGTACCAATGAACTATAAATGCACGTTATTTAATCGATATTCGGACCAACCTCCATTGATATCAGACTAACGAATCTGTTTCGAAAGCAAGTTTATAAATATACCAGCAGCTGCCAGCAGGATACGCCCACATTTTCGAGAGATGGATAGAGATGAAGCTAAAAAGAAAGTGATTTTTCCTACAATCAAGGGCCATAATTCAGGAAATTACAATTCGATATGCCCAATTCGAGAGGAACTGAGATCTTTGGGTTATAAACTTACATTTCAAGTTTCAACAAAATCGGATAAAAATTGTGACCTCTATAGGGTCCACAGCCTTGATATACCATATTTTTACGCTATTTGAGTACGAGGGGCGGCCATTTTGTCTGTCAGTTTTGGTCCGATTTTCACGAAATTCGAACTCAACCATCCTTAGGGTGTAAAAGTGATATATTCAAACGATTTTTTAAATCGGATAATAATTGTGACCTCTAGAGGGACCTCAAGCTAAAAACGTGATTTTTCGTACAATCAGGGGTCATAATTCAGGCAGTTACAATCCAATATGTGCGAATATCGAAAGGAACCAAGATCTTTGGGTTATAAACTTATATTTCAAGTTTCATCAAAATTAGAAGAAAATTGTGACCTCTAGAGGGTCCCCAACATTCATATACCTTATTTTTACGCTATTTGAGTACGATGGGCGGCCATTTTGTCTGTCAATTTTGGTCCGATTTTTACGAAATTCGAACTCAACCATCCTTAGGGTGTAACGGTAATATATTCAAATGTTTTTTTTAAATTGGATAAAAATTATGACCTCTATAGGGTCCACAAGCTAAAAACGCGATTTTTAGTACAATCAGGGGTCATAATTCAGGAAGTTACAATCCAATATGTGCGAATATCGAAAGGAATCAAGATCTTTGGGATATAAACTTACATTTCAAGTTTCATCAAAATCAGAAGAAAATTGTGACCTCTAGAAGAGAGTCCACAACCTTGATATATCATATTTTTACGCTATTTGAGTACGAGGGGCAGCCATTTTATTTGTCAGTTTTGGGCCGATTTTCACGAAATTTGAACTCAGCCATCCCTAGGGTGTAACGGTGATATACTAAAACGGTTTTTTAAATCGGATAAAAATTATGACCTCTATGGGGTCCTCAAGCTAAAAATGTGAGTTTTCGTACAATCAGGGGCCATAATTCAGGAAGTTAAGATCCGATATGCGCGAATATCGAAAGGAACCGAGATCTTTGGGTTATAAACTTACATTTCAAGTTTCAACAAAATCGGATAAAAATTGTGACCTCTATAGGGTCCACAACCTTGATATACCATATTTTTTACGCTATAGCATGATTTATTTGTTAAAGGTCTGTTAATACCATATATGAACATCTGACATGTAAAATTGTGTTAAAGAATTAGACTAATGTCTTCATAAGGACCAATTTCTGCAACAACAATTTATTGCTGTAGTGATCAATTTCAACATTTTCACTATACATGTATTTTAAAGTCATAGTTTTAAACTTAAATAGCTTCATTTGCAATATTTCTGGTCATATATACTCTTCAAAAAAAGTGGGGGATATTCAGAAACAATACAAAACTGCAGGGATGCACTGCTGTTTTTATTAGAGGTAACCAGTGTATGTTAATAAAAGGCCAATTGCCTACACATGAACATAAACAGTTCATATGGGCGCTTATCTGACGGCCCCATTTCACTCGCAAAGAGATGCACCGTTAAAAGTGAAAATGGACGTTTTTGATTTTTGTCTTAATAATGAGTAATTGCTCCACCAATCCTCTGACATTCAGCAATTCATCGTGACATGTTCCTAATCAAACGTCTAATTACGAATTGGGGCAATCTGACCCACTCCTCTTGCAGTGCCACGGCCAATTCTTGCAGTGTGGTCGGTTGACGTTAACGTTGAAGAAACACGTCTCCCGATCAAATTAAACGTAACACACTAAAGCAAAGATACGCTAAACAGTAAATCTTGTGCAAGAACCGATAGGAAAGCAAACATGCGGCAGTTTTCATCAACCCTTCCTTGAACTGTCAAATTTGACCTCTATATGGTCCACAAGCTACAAATGCGATTTTTCGTACAATCAGGGGCCTTAATCCATGAAGTTACGGTTCGATACATGCCAATATCTAAAGGAACCTAGATCTTAGGGAGATAAACCTATATTTCAAGTTTCGTTGAAATCGGATAAAAATTGTAAGCGGTAGAGTGTCCACAAACAAATTGTGGACGGACGTCCAGACAGACGGCTGGACGGACGGACGGACGGAAATGAAATGGAGTTTAACGTCCTACTGTTCTGCTCCTAACCTGGGCTAATGAAGACGGGCATACACCATACAGTGTGCTATGAGGGAAATTTTGCCCGGACAGCGGCACTACGGCCTACTCTTATATCGAATTCCAACTGCCAAGGGATCTTTTACGTGCACGCCAATGTGTACACGGGACCTCGGTTTTTCGTCCCATCCGAACGACTAGACAGCTTTCCTTGTCAGCCCCTCCGTCCTGCATCACTGACAAGGGAGAACCACGCCGGAAAATCTAGAGAGCTAGCGTCTTACCCACTTAGCCACGTGATCTCCCGTGGACAAACAGGGGGGACGGCATAATATGTCCACATGAAAATGTGGGCGTATAAAAATAATAAGTCCGCTAGGGATGATAAAGAATCTGTCACATTACTTATTAAGAAAGAGCTGGATAATAATTATATTATCGGTTCTTTTCAGAGGTCATCTTTTGAGGTATTTCGGGTTAACCCTTCAGGTTTGGTTGTCGGGAAATACTTGTTTAAAAAACAGTTGATAGTGGATTTGTCAGCCCCTCATAATTCATGTGAAGAGAGTTTATATAGTTTAATTGATAAAGAAGAATATTCATGGTCATATGTGTCAACTGATGATGCCATCAAAGTAATTCACATGGTGTGCATTGGGAAAAGGAAATGTATTTTTTTACTTGTTTGGTTTTTGGTTCTCGCTCTAGTCCAAAAATTTTTGATCCTTTTTCTTCCTGCATCTGCTGAATCGCTCACCACAAATGTGGTGTGGCGTCTATCTTACATTTACTAGACGATTTTTTAACAATTGATCAAAACAATACTAATGCTGTTGAAACTATGGCAATCATTTTATCATTGTTCAAGGAATTGGGGGTGCCACTATCCGAAAATAAAACTTTGGGTCCTACGACGTGTTTTGAATATTTAGTGTTATTTAAATATCCAGCATATGGAGGCTCGGCTTCCAAATGTGAATTTTGCAGCTGGTGTAGTGAGACTCAGTTGCTCTTTTCGTGTCGTATTTGATTACACTGTCTACCAAAGTTAAAATTAATGAGGCATGTAGGCTAGAACATCATATGTGGCTCAAGTTTCTTAGACATTGGAATGGTTCGTCCTTTTTCTCGGAACAATGGTTTACCTATTCCCCGGATACAGAGTTGAACAGATGCTTCTAGCACTAAAGGTTTTGCTGGTTTTTTTTAAGGGAAAATGGTTTAGTGGTAAATGGCCCCCGGAAATCTTGAATTCTAAAGAATTCTCCTTAGCCTTGTTGGAAATGTATCCAATTTTAATAGCAACTATTTTGTGGGGTCACAACAGGGGTACAAAGCAAATAGTGTTTCATTGTGATAATGAAGCAACTGTACAGAAAATATGCAAGGGTAGAGCCTCTTATATGTTCCTTAATCAATACATTTTCAAGAAAGTTAACCCTGTGTACTATGCGTTTTAATTGTACTCTAAAGGAAACAACATGTGATGGGGTGTAAGAATGAGTTAGCCGATTCCCTTTCCCGTTTAGATGTATAATTATTGTTCAGAAGTACGCTTGTTACCTAATGTATCTGAATCAAATTTAATTCAATTTGTAGCTTTTTGCCATTCTATTATAAAGGTTACTTTTTCTACCATTCAGTCTTATATAGCAGGTATTCATTATTTTTATCCCAGACAAGGAAATACAGGTCTGTGGAATTTCCCAGTTAAGTTAGATAGATTAAACTATGTACTAAGAGCTGTCAAAAGGTCACAGGGCTTAGATACTCTTAACTCTAGGCATCGGTTACCTGTAACTGCAGATATTTTTAATCAAATATGTTGTCTACTGAGAAGCGGATATTTCTCCCCTCACATTGATCAGCTTATGCTTGCAGTTATGACTCTTGCCTTTTTTGGATTTCTAAGGTGTGGAGAATTTACCGTTTGTGGGAATTTTGATAATTGTAGGCATTTGTGTCTAGATGATGTTAGTTTTGCAGTAGATAGTTCCTCTATGAAAATCCATTTGAAGTCCTCTAAAACCAATCTTTCGGAGCAGGTGTGGATATTAATATTTTTGACAATGTACGCTTTTAACCAGTTAGATGTATGGCTGATTATTTACTTTTGAGGAAACGACTTCAAGCGGGGGAAGCCTTGTTTGTTATTCCAGATTTAAAACCTTTGTCAAGATCGTTGTTTATTGGTTATCTTAAACAGTTGCTTATCCGTTTGGGAATTGACCCTTTCCCAGTATAGCTGGCACTCTTTTCGCATTGGAGCTGCTACTTCAGCGGCAAAACAAGGTGTCCCTGATCACTTAATCCAGAGTTTAGAGCGTTGGAAATTTTTAACTTATACCCGTTACATACACATCTCTAAGGCGAAATTAAAGAATGTTTTATCATTATTACTTTTCACTATTTTGGCGGTCCGATATGTGCCCTACTTATTTGGGTACATATCTCTTTTGGCCTTGCTTACAGCACCATCAAATACCTTAGTTAGTTTGATGCATAATTATTAGTGTAACAATTGCTCATTTGTCACTTTTAATATTCATAGGGGCTGCAGTCCCGGGTCTACCAGCATTTCATAAATCGTAGGGGCCGCAGTTCTGGATTTACCAGAGATTCATACGTAGATTGTAGGGGCCGCAGTCCTGGATTTACCAGAAATTTCATACGTAGATTGTAGGGGCCGATGTCCCGGGTGTACCAGCAGTTCATAAATAAATCGTAGGGGCCACAGTCCTTGATTTACAACTTTAATTGTTGTATTAAGCAGGGTCGCAGTCCTGGTTTACTTAACGTTTAAGTATATCTAGTTTATTGTTATAATTCCATTATTATCATTCTATTGTTATTTTAAGATAAGATTTCACCTAATTAAGTCACATTCATTAGTTATTGTTACTATGTTAATTTTATCTTGAGATATATGTACATGTCTAAATTCAATTTACTTTTTTCGTGCTGTGCCACGAACTTGTTGGGGTTGCAACTCTAGATGTATTTCTCGGTGACTTAATTTGGTTGAGTGCACCCCCCTTTGTGCAAATAAATTGTTTAAATTTATTACTATTCTTGTTCTCTGTTTTATTGGCATAAATCAAGGGCCATAGACCAGGAAGTTACGTCCCGATACATGGCATTGGCCGATAAAGTTAATCCAGATTTTCTGGCGTGGTTCTGCCTTGTCAGTGACGCAGGACGGAGGGCCTGACAGGGACAGCTGTCTAGTCGTTTGGATGGGACGGAAAACCGAGGCCCTGTGTACACATTGGCGTGCACGTAAAAGATCCCTTGACAGCTGGAATTCGATATAAGAGTAGGCCGTAGTGCCGCTGTCTGGGCAAAATTTCCTTCATAGCACACTGTATGGCGTCTGCCCGTCTACATTAGCCCAGTTTGGAGCAAAACAGTAGGACGTTAAACCCAATTTCATTTTATTTCACTTTAGTTTCGGATAAACAGCTTCATTCTGACCTTTATTTCATAGAAATTGACAGAAAACTATAGCGAGTAGGATAAAATTGATGTAACATCGGCGTTCATCTTTGATGATGTCACAGGGGAATAACCTACCATGTCAGCCCAAGTCCAAATTACAGACTAAGCCACCTACTAAACATTTCTACAAAAAAATTCTCCCTGCTCAAATTTTCCTAAAGAACCATAGTCAGATGCAGGACTATGGTGCCTTGTCAGCTCATTTTAGCTACAGCATTTTCGGATTTTTGGTGCTGTAGTAGAAAAATCCTAAATTTCAAGCCAAGTCTCAAATAGATGGTGTGTACTTTTAACTCTGTAGGAAGCGTGACCCAATTATTCCTTCAATAAACATCATGTTTGTCTTTGATTCCCGAGATAAATATTACAATCGAGATAAATAGTACAATGTGTTTCCCGACTAACAATGACATTAGAGGCATTTTAATGTGTAATGTTTTTTAATGAGCCACTACCGATAAGTTTCACTGTCAACATTATGGTGGCACGATATATCGTTGAATTGTACCTTTTTTCTTCATCAAGCTGTTTTATAACCGTCTCTAACTCCTGTCTTTGTTTTTGTAGAAGATCTGTGTTAGAGTTGTTATTTGACGCCACAGTTACTTGTATATCCTACATAAAAATAAAGTATTTGAAGCATGTATTATCAATTAATGATAATCAAGATTTAGAGACATGGGTTGAATGAAGTTGTAACGCATTAGTTATACAGAGTGATTAATTGAGTAAACTAATATGAATCAATTAAACATACATTATGCAAGAGCTAAAAATATTCCTATTGTAGGTCCTTCTTTAGGCCTGAAATGTTTTCTAAATTATTAATTAGACATTAATTAACTGATCCAGGCCATAATCAACTCTCGATGGCATTGGATTTCTCCTATATTAAATAGATTAGAACAGTTCAGCCATATTTTGATTTAAGCTAAAAATGGAGAAGTGAGACTTAGCTTCGAACAACCAGTACGGTGGTTGAAATTATTGCACACGTCTTGTCAAACCTTCGAAGGCTAATATCTTCGCTCACAATAGAGTAATTTGAATGAAATTTTCTAATTATTCATTTTACATTATCTATTTTCGAACTATTATAGCAAGAATAGCTAACTCTTTATCTAAATCTAACATAATGTATCTTTAATTTAAAATGACAGTCTAAAGTGTAAATTCTATCCCACATTTACTTTTTTAATTAATTGGGCTTTTTTCTAAATGAGAAGATTTGATTTTTCACCAATACTATGTTCCAATAACAGTTTTTTTTTTAAAAATAAATAAACTAGGAATAATATCTGTATTTATATTATAATAGGACTAAAGCTCACCGTGTTAATGTGACATGGTTGTGTTGCGTGAACAGCGAAATCTGCTTGGTTTAGTTTTAGTATGGGTTGTGATGTAGGTGAATGTATGATGGCTGTTGATAATAGTGATTGTTGACTAATATCACTACTTAATCTAGAAACATCTGGAACTGATCTCTGTTCCCTGAAATATATAACACCTTCACATTTATATATTTGGATAATAAATTTCACGAATTTTGTTATGTCCGATTGGGCAGACAGACAAGTCCGGAATATACAGATCAGTGTTTCTTTATCTCATAACACTGCATTAATTTCAAATTAATGGAACAACAACTCTGAAAATAATTATCGACATCTTCGTCGAAGAAATAAATACTGCATACACTATAACTCAGGTATCATGTAGTTGTTCTGTTTCTGTATTTAAAGATACATTATTCAAGAGCTAAATTTGCCTATTGCAGGTCTTTCTTTAGGCCTTAAATGTTACATAAATTATTATTTAGACATTTATTAACATGACAAGACCATAATCAACTCTCGATGCCATTGGATGCTCGAGATTTTAACTAGATTAGAACAGTTCAGCCCTTTAATGATTTAATCTAACAAGCGGTTGCCCATTTTCTGTACAATCAGGGGCCATAATCCAGGAAGTTACGGTCCGATATGCACGAATATTGTAAGGGACCGAGATCAAATTCAACCATCATTCTTGTGTAACAGTGATATATTTGAAAGGTTTTTAAAATCGGTTAAAAATTGAGTCATATTGAGGGCCCACAAGATTAAAATACAATCAAGGGCCATAATTCAGGAAGTTACAGTCCGATATACATGAATATTGAAAGGAACCGAGATCTTTGGGATATAAACATATACTGGATCGATACAATATGCCGAATTATACAGCATATCGAAATACTCAATTGTCTCAATACTGGAATTATTATTGTATCTCAAATACTGGAAGTATTATTAGGGTTTCACACTGCGTAGCTTGTGTGAAACACTATTGTTTTTGTTAAAATTATTCTTATTATTATTCTTATTAAGGTTTTACACTGTGTAGCTTGTGTGAAACACTATTGTTTTTGTGAAGATTATTCTTATCATTATTAAAGGACAATATTGGTGCCAGTCCTTATCACATATGTGATAGAGCTGGTTAAACACATTCCAAATATAATTTTAACACAGAGATCATTGCTACGATAGCTGAGTAATACAGGTTTCCCGAATCGGAAGTGACGAACGCCAAAGGAAAACACGGGTCATCTCTTTATATAACTGACTGATGTGACGAGTTATAACAGATACATGGCCGAATTTCTGCTCACTCATAATTCCTTCGAAGACCAAAAGTTGTTATATGGGACTGTAAGAGGATACCTGACAATTCAATAAAGTAATTGTATGTCATTAGATAAGAGAACACAAGAAAAATAGAATAGTCCATACATTCCCTTGTTTATATTCATTCTATACCTTATAAAAACATGGTAATGCACGGACTTTTTATGTTTTTCTTTCGTGTTCACTTATGTAGTGGCAGTCAGTTCTTTTTATGAATTGTCAGATATCCTCTCACGGTCTCACACAACAACTTTTGGTCTTCGAGGGAATTATTAGTGAGCAGAAATTCGCCTGTATATCCGTTATCACTCGTCACATCAGTCAGTTATATAGAGAGATGGCTCGTGTTTTCCTTTGGCGTTCGTCACTTCCGATTCAGGAAACCTGTATTACTCAGCTATCGTAGCAATGATCTCGTGTTAAAATTATATTTGGAATGTGTTTAACCAGCTCTATCACGTATGTGATAATGACTGGCACCAATATTGTCCTTTAAGCTTTCATATTTCATATGAAAGCTTATTGTTTCTGTTAAGATTATTATTAAGCTTTCATATTTCATATGAAAGCTTACTGTTTCTGTTAAGATTATTATTGTTATTAGGCTTTCAGACTTTTGTCTGAAAGCCTATTGTGATTACTAAAATTATTATTATTTATTATTATTATTTTTTTTTTTCGCCATAGCCTATTTCTCAGTGCCTGTAACAGATACCGATATGGGACCTAATTTCCTATCCGAAACCATGTGGTGGCTACTTGATAAACTATTTTTGAAACTTCTGCGTCAACCAGAAGTGGCCGAATTTCGTGCGGTGCATAAAAAGTAAAAAACGGCCGTAGCTTCGTCAATTCTGTACCTATTTTCATACAAATGACATTTTCAGAAACCCTGAGTCTTTTCTCTGACGATAGCAGTTGAAAATTTTGAAATTTCGAAACTTAGTCGCTGACTTCTAGGGTTTGAAAAATGAAAAATTTTGTTTAAAAGACAATTGTTGTTATTTTTCAAAATTTTCAAATTTGACCTACATTTTTGGATACCTGAAGACCATCCGATTCCAGAAATATAAGTTTCATTCCGAGTTATCGCCCTTTATTTTTCGATTTTTTTCGAATTTTCTGCCCATTTCCCAAAATTATATTTTTTGGAAAGGATAAATCGATAGTTCTGAAAGTCCTGGAACATAAAGCTATATAGTCAGACCGCTGCATAAAGCAATTTCAAAAACGATCCGGAAACCGGAAGTAGTCGAAATAATGATAGATATTTCGAAAAAAAAGCAAAAAATGGGTGTTTTGGGGAAAAACTCGATTTCTCCATCCAATATCAATGGATTAAACGAATTAAGCTTTCGTTGAGTGGCCCGAGGAATGGACTGTCGTATGATGCCCAATTTATACCGATACTATGACCAAGCAGCAAAATATGACAAGCTGAAAATCAAGTATTTTCTGATTTGGAGCGTTTTTGGACGCCTGTATCTCGAAATCTTAACCGCAACTTTTTTTTTAACTTTCTCTATCGAGAGTCCATTCAATAGTCTTGTGAATTATGCCATCCAATAAGACTCTGAAATGTCTGAAATACGATAAAAAGGGACTGAAAATCGAAAAAAGTCGAAAAATCATTAAATTTTGCAAAATGCTCTATTACTTTATTATTTAAACAAATTTTTACAAAACGATTACAAATTCGGATAGCTGACCTAATTACGATTCTAACGATGTATAATATGTATTGAGTTATTGAAATTTAATTTTCGATATTTTGACATTTTTGCATTTTTGGCATCTTTGAACATAGGATTTATCAGGGTCATTTTATCTGATCAGATAATGTAATATATCATTACAGAGCCCTGCCGCTATTTAATTGCCCAAACTGGTTATTAAAACTATTCCGACAATAATCTCCATACCGAAAGTATTCAAAAAATGAAAAAAAAAAGGTTAAAAAATTGTCGCTCTTGCGAAAAGCTGGATTTCTCGGTCAGATATTACTGGACCAAAAGAAGTAAAGTGTCTTTGGATAGCCCCATTAATGGACTATTATATGGCATCTCAATGGTACGATTTCGATGGTTAGAAAATAAATTGTGGTACGCCGAAAATCTAGTATTTTCCGTTTTTGGAGCCTTTTTAGACGTCTTTTTCTCGAAAACGACAACTCCGATTTTTCCAAAACTTTTTTAACGCAGAGTCCTATCGGTAGTCTGTGGCGTGAAGGTTTGAAATAATATAAGGGGTCCAAAAATGGCCTCAATCTTTGAAAAAAGTTGAAAAATCGTTAAATTATTGAAAATGTTCTTTTATTTATCTTTTTTACAAAAAACTACTGAATAGATGTTTCTGACACTTCTGTGACAGAAAGTTAAGTATCTAAACAAATTGTTAAAACTATCTCGACAATGATCCAAAAACCGGAAGTAGTCGAAAAAATATCCGATATTTTTGAAAATAAAAACGTAAAAAGTAAAAGAAGTGGTGATCTTGTGAAAAAGTGATTACTATGCCAGATTTCACCGAATCAAAACAACTAAAGTATCATTGTATATCCTGATCAATGGACGATTTTATGACATCTAAATGGTAAAAATTTGCTGGTTAGGCAATACATTATGGGACGCTGAAAATCTTGTATTTTCCTTTTTGGAGCCTATTCAGACGCTTTTATTTCGCAAACTACTCTTAATTCATTTCATAAACTTCTGTTACTTGGAGTCCTAGGGTGGTCTAGCCTCAATATATACTCATGTCCAAAAGAAAGTATACGCTGTGCATTTCATACTGCATCAACCAAAGTCGTTTTTCCATTCTATGCGGTATTTGGGTACAATTTCAATTTGTTTCACCTTTTGTTGCTTAGAAATGTTGAGTTTGGATGCAAGAGACAAGCTCAGTAATGTTTTATCAATTGTTTTTAATCTAAACAAAACTTAGACATATTTTTAGTGTGTATACTTTCTTTTGGACATCAGTATAGTATAAATGTTCCAAAAAGGGCCCCAATCTTTGAAAACAAGCCAACAGTGAGGCTGATGTCCCCCGCCGAAATAGGAAAATAATTAGAGGACACATATAAATTTATCACAAATTATCTTTTACAAAGTATTGAACAATCAAACAGTATATCTTTACTTATAGTCTAACAATCAAAGTAGGAGAGTTATTGTTTTCCAAAGTCTCGACCAATCAAATTGCGTATCGCTCTGCTTACCCTGAGCAGAAAATGCTCATTATCAAACTTAGTCAAGGTATTACTGTAATGAAACTATACACCAAGTTTCATCAATCTCACTTAATTAGAACTAAAGTTATCGTGTCCCAAAGCATCAACCAATCAAATTGCTTATCTCTGCTTACCCTAAGCGGAAAATGCTCATCTTCGAACTCCATCAAGGCATTGACCTAATCAACACATACACCAAGTTTGAACATTCTAGCTCAATTAGGAAGAGAGTTATCGTGCCCCAAAGTATCAACCAATCAAATTGCTGCTTACCCTGAGCAGAAAATGCTCATTATCAAACTTAGTCAAGGTATTACTGTAATGAAACTATACACCAAGTTTCATCAATCTCACTTAATTAGAACTAAAGTTATCGTGTCCCAAAGCATCAACCAATCAAATTGCTTATCTCTGCTTACCCTAAGCGGAAAATGCTCATCTTCGAACTCCATCAAGGCATTGACCTAATCAACACATACACCAAGTTTGAACATTCTAGCTCAATTAGGAAGAGAGTTATCGTGCCCCAAAGTATCAACCAATCAAATTGCTTATCTCTGCTTAGCCTAAGCGGAAAATGCTCATCTTCG